ATAGATAAATAAAAATATTAATATTTACATATTCTAGAAATTCTGAAATCCGGAAATAATCAAGAAAGCACCTGGTGAACATTACAAGTGCTGACAACTGTTTTTCGTCTGCTCAGATTATAAAAAAATCGGTAAAATTCTCTGACGAATATATTTGATAGGTATATCGCTGTCATCATAAAGCTTGAATTTCGTTTAAAGTGTTGCTAATGATTTAATCTAATGAAAGAGGAGGGAATTAATGAAGTGGAACTTTTTTCTAATCATTTTCTACTCTTAAATAGATGGAGGAAAAGAAACTATCTTTTGAATTTTGTATAGTCTATATGATAAAAAAAGATTTAACTAATCGTCTGTAAAGGCCCTTTTAAAAATAGATTATTCAACATCAATGGAATAAAACTGGATAACCGGGCAAAAGTTATTTTTAAATATTCTGAATGGCTGTTAAATGCATCACCAACAGATGTTAACATGGACACACATTCTTTTTATAGAGACAAATGTAAATAAATATACTGCATTGGTGCATTTTGCAACACATGAAATTACCGATTTGGAATAATAATATAATAAGAACTACTTTTCTGTGCGGAATTATTTTTTTTTACAATTTCATGACAGCAGACGACAATGAACCATTATCAGATGCGGCAGATCATTGGCTATTTACTAAAACAAGATAAACGTATTAAGTGGCTGATTATTTTCAAAACGAAGATAATCTGTTTGTGTAGAGATTTATGAGATCTGATATAACTGACTTGTAAAATGGCGGCAATCTTTATCTTATCAAACTAACAAAAAAAATGATATTGATAAAATCTAAACATAAAAGATAATTTCAAAATTGCCCATAAATCTCCTTCCTGGATGCATCTCTTGTACTTTTATAGACCATAATTACATCTTAAATAGCTAAATCTGTTTATTGCAATGATTGGTGTTATTTCTAAATATTTATAACTTTAACTATTGTCAATATTTGCATAAACGAGAAGCGAATTATATAAATCTAACTATTTCATTAGATACTATTTCAGCTATCTAAACGATTTTTAACATTACAACATTTTTCCAGTCTGCATTATTTTCGGTTCGTATTTCAACATCAATATTTTCGGAATTAAATAAAGTGCCACTTTTTAGATATTTCTTCTAGGCGGAATATGTACAGTTTTGTGCATGGTAGAGATTAAACAGAAGCTTTCGATTAATTGCAAGTTTGTTTTGAATACTTCCATGGTATTTTCTGCCATCTCTGAGTATTGTATGTGAAAACATTGTAGAAATAAGTAGCAGAGCACTTAGCGGTGTGCTATATATTATATCTACGTTAGGCCAGTCCTATGAATAATTAGATTCTGAAGTGCCGAGTTTAACCTTTAACATGTTGATTTTTTAAAAAAATTTTAGATGGATTGTCCAACTTTAAAGCGGCACGCCTCTAGATTTATACTAATAATAATTTTATGTTTTTAGGCTTTTTTGACCTCAGTGTAGTTCCAACAAATAATTGATAAAATGTATATTTAAAATATTTTTATATCATAATTTCTATTATAAATAAACAATTTTTATTTATACTATACAAGATGCATTCAGAAGTACACTATGTAATATTCTGAAGTAACCAAAAGCAATTAACAGACTATCAATGGCACTTTCAACCCACTTATTATACCAAAAAGAGATCAACATATGCAAAAAAAGCCATCACTGCGTTAGTAACGCAATTGTAATAGAGTCATAAATACTGAAAACAATCAGTCATTAATCGTGCATAACATGTAAATCATTACTTGAGTCTTGAATATTTTTACTTTTCCTAAAATCTTAGTATATTTTTTTCAAGTTTTGATTTTATTGAAGAATTCCGGCTCATCTGGAGGCATATCGTTTATTATGAATTTTAGATACGTCTAGATGAAAATTAAAACAGTATAGGGCCTGGACCGACAGACCTGGCGTCTAGGCCAGCCAGGGTCCATACTGGTGGCTTACGTTCAAGGACGTCTCTACATATTCCACATGATGTAATTGTTTACTGAGAGAAATTATAATCTTTATTTTAATTCCTAAAGCACACGTGATCAGCGCTTGATGTTCTTAATTAGGATGAAATAAACAACTATAAGAAATTAAAAAAATAACATAATCTTGCAGTCCTTACATTATTTGAAACCTCGTTATGTGCACGCAGCATTACAGAAAGATGATAGTAAGGTGCATTGTTTTATTTCTCTAGATACATTATCGATGTATAATATAAGTAAGTTTTTTACCTACAAGGTTCTATCGTAAATTTATACTAAATTTCATTAATAATGAAACCCCATTTAATGAAAAACTTACATCCCATTCTATGAAAACGCGAGAAGATACAGTTATTTAAAGGGACTCATCTGCGATTTTTCGCCATGAAGGGAAATGAAATATTATTTTCGAGACTTGAGTAATTTTGATGTAAGTCTTTACTTATAAGTTGTGTGCATTTACTGATAAGTTTTGTGCAACATATCATATCATTTCCTCACTCATTTTTCCCAGGAAAAAAATAACAAAAACACAAAAAAAAAGCATTTTTATTGTGTAAAAGTGACAAAACTAGAAATAAAAGCGTTGCTACGATTTTCACTTAACGTTCAATTTAACTGTTTATCTCTATTATGATCTTTTGCAGCGTTTTCCATTTTAAGTGCATCACTTCATCTATGCACGAATTTCAAATTTTATGTTTTTAGGTTGTTTTTTTTTTTACCTCAGTGGAGTTCCTTCTTTAGCATATTTTTATATAATAATTTCTGTTATAATTCCAATGGTATGAAAAATACGTGCTGTCAATAGTTTTATTTAAGTATTGCTAGTTAATACATTGTGATAACTCATTTATTTTCATAACTTTTTTTTATATAAAAAAACAAACTAATTTCACATATTAGCTGAAATGGCCGATATGTGAAGGAAAAATAAATACGTCAATATCACAAGAAAGACTATGTCATCTGGACATTTCATTATAAACATTTTTAAGAAAATGTACTCTTTCAAAATTACATTGAGACTTTTTTCAGAGACATGTTTTATTTTCGTACTCCATATGGTCGTACTGGGACTCGGGGGACTTTTAATGCTTGATTTAAATTAATTGATTCGTCTAGATTACTCGTATAGTAGAGATCGTGCACGTTATGGTGACGTCATGATCGTGTTTAATTAGTGCAAATTTTAAAACAAAACACTACATCAATATCAAGGAGAAGAAAACATATAAACAGAAGTTTTAAAGGCCCATTATATCCCAGATCTGCTTTTATTTCTCAAAAGCTTTTTTTAATATTGGTGATCTTTTATAGTTACTCATTGGACATTTTTTTCATCTGTTGCTTTTTGGCAATGAGTACATTTTTTTTACAGAAAATCATCATTTTTGTATGGAAGTCCAAATACTATTTTGTTTACATTTTGCTACTTTAAAGAAAAATTATTTCACATTTATAGCTACTTTCTTCAGGTAACAAGCATCTAACATTCCTCTAAAGCCATTATTTAAAAATTACAATAACTAATGTTGCCTTTCTAAAGAAGTTAAATGTATTTGTTTTTGAGGCATAATGTGCCTTTAAACTTCTTGTGAATACATCACTGCTACCCTGTACAGTATCACGAGCTAAATGTGCCTGTCAAACTTACAATTCAAACTCTGATGGTATATCTCATATGCCATTTGTCAGTCAGCTTTCACGACATAGACGTGAATAATTTATTTCCAACTTTTTTCACTTCATCAGCACAATTGTTTGAAGGACTGTTCAAGGGGTTAAGTGTACTTAGACCTATTATGATTTCCAATTGAAAGTATGGGTAATACGTTCATAATTGAATCTGAACGACGTACATTTTTGTGCTAATTTTAGGGATGTGAATGTCGTTTAATGATGATTATCATATAAACATCAGAAAAGAAGTTGTTTTTATACATATGTGAGGAACAAACCGTGCAAACTTCTCCTCCCCCAAGGGTCTTGTTTAATGCTATATTTTATCAGATATCGCGTATTGTACATACTTCATGGATTTTTTTCCGAAATATAATTTCATTTTATGATGTCAAAACATGTGTACATAAAAAGCAATTTGCTGATAAGTAAATTCTTCAATATATCGTCCTCACTGTCTTTAAGGACGGTAAAGTATAACTGTAAACATTTTCCCGGCTTTCTTTTAATGTTGCATATAATTATCTAATTACCATACATTAATTGCATTACATTTTACGAATATCTATTTCAAAAATAAAATTTTATTGCGTTGCACGTATTTGATCTTTTACCAGTTTTTGTTCTTAAAGTGAATTGGTGTATGATGGAATGTCTGTAATACAATGAATAATTACGTTGATAATATTTAGTAGTAGACATAACAACAAACCAAGGAAAGAATTATACATGGCAGTTGATGGCTAGTGTGAGATACATGATCCGATATAACATATATTTATTTATATAGCAGATAAATAAAGTGGTCATGTACAAAACATTATTATTTATCACATAAATGGTCATTCTAAATCACTAAGAACTTTATCAACAATTTATTTTTTCAAGTATCTTTTTATAAGAATATCCAAATTATATATGTTTATTGTTTTAATGTTTTAATCATTATTGAAGATAGTAATAGAAAATGTGCCCATTGTAGGCCTATCCACTTTAACTTTAGAATAACAAAAATCCAATCTAAGTATCTGACAGATGTATAAAAAACATAAGCATAAAAAGTAAATGAAAAAATACGTCTTCTTAAAGGAAATAACATACTTTCATCTTCTTAAATATTGTACATTTGATAATGTTACTTAAAATAAAAATAATTCTTAGGAACTTTTTCAACTTTAATCTAAAGGCAACATATCTAAACCGAACAGATTTAATCACAATAACATGGGAGTAAAATGCAACACTCAAAGTAAATGATTAATGAATGTAATTGGTACTCACCTAATTTCATTTTAGAGACTGTCGGTCAATTTGTCCGGTTAACACTTAAGCCAAAGTAAAAATATTTTCACGCCTTACTTCACTTTTGACCAAGCATATAATTAGTTATTCCACTGTGGGATGTTTAAGCAGTCATTTCACTGATGCTCGACAACACGATTCCCAAGCATTTTATATATACTTCCTTTTGTACTTTTTTATACGACGCCAAAAATTACATAAATATTTTTGGGTCCAGCCAGCTATTGGCTAATTAAACTAACTACCATTTTAATGAACAAGGCAACTGTTACCATCGTTTGTAAATCCTGTGAATCTATTAAGATATGACTGATAAGTAATTTGTAGTTTTTGTCTGTAAACACTATTTATTATGTCATTACAAACACGTACTGTAGCATTTTGAACGGTTTTTGTATGTCTCTACCTATCATTTTTATCGGCGGAGGAATCTTCCAAAAGGGAACCGAGGCTGTAATCAATGGGAACTATTTGCGGTTCAAACATGCTGTTCTATTAAAGAGAGAGGAAGCATAGGTAAATTAAAATCGTATTAAAGTGCGGAGAGCCGTTAGAAGATCAGGCATATGATAGTTTGGTTGTTTATATGTTATATCGGTTATCAGAGAATTGTAATAGTTAAATGGCGGGATTCTTTATTTAAATATAAATTATAAAAGCTCCATTTTTTGATATCTTCGAATGCGCATGTGAAATTCTCCCATAACTTAAATAAGATGTAAATTGCACACGCTCCAATCTGATAATGAATTGGAGTTTGTCAGTCTTTGCTGGAGTGTGAATATACTAAATATTGTACTGAATATTGCAAATAAAATACTAGTAAATTGAATAAATATCTTGATGTTTTTGGCGGGAAAATGTATAAGTAGCATGCATTTTTTTATTGAACATTTAATGATCAATAAGGTTTTTTTTCCGCATCACTGTTTTCATTTTCTTTTCTATCTTTTCTATCAATGTAGAAATAATAATAATAATAATAATAATAATAATAATAATAATAATAATAATAATAATAATAATAATCTTATTAAACAAACATCGATTTGAACTGTGAGTCCATATTTGATCACACGAGCGACTTTTAAATCAACCATGGCAGCATTTAGATTTTCACATGGTTAGAGTGTGTTAGGAAGAATAAAGCAAATAGATAGTCTACTTTTCCTTTATCTTGAATTAATTCAAAACTAACTGGCATCGGTTTAAAGTGCAGTTTTAATAAGCACAATATATCAATAAAGGTAAGACTCTATGTCCTATGACTTGCTTTACATTAACTCTAACTTTCTGAACTCTTTCTCCTTGAAATGGAAAGACGAAGTTTGAACCTAACTGTAATGAAAGATTACGATAGGGCGGGGCTTAAGGGATGATCCTACCTGCCCAACCAATTAGAAAGTCAGTTCTTTCGAAAAGAATAATAAAATATACTGCAATATTTAATTACAGAGTTCACGTTTAACTGCTAATTTATGTTCCAAACAGACTTTGGGTAAATCAGGTACGTATATTAACGTTAATATACGTACCTGGGTAAATTAATAATAATCTTTTTTACATTTTTTTGGGTTGTTTTTTTTTTTCGAGAAAAATGACGTGTTTTTTTTTTCATTTTCATTTCTTGTAAAAGTTGGAATTTTCGATTTATCAAATCTTGTATCATTTAAACGCTGTAATCGTACAATTAGGTATTGACTCCCTTATGTAACTCTACACTCATGCGTCATGCGACTTAATTCCCAAAATAACAACATGTTGAAATTTTATCTCAATTGATTATACAATCAGTTGAAAAAATCACAAATTAACCGTGTAGTAATCTATATAATAACCTCCTATCATTGTATAAACGATATGTCACGATAAACATGTGATGTGAGGTTTAAAGGCACATTATGCCTCAGAAATTAATAAATTTTTACTTCTTTAGAAAGGGTAAAAATGAATTTTAGAATGTTTAAATAATGGTTTTAGACCATATTAGATGATTGTTATCTTAAAAAAGTAGCACTTAATGTGAATTATTTTGTCATAAAAGTAGTAAAATTTGAACAAAGAAGTATTTTGACTTCAATACAAAATATTTAATCACTATAACTGAACTAATTGCCAAAAAAAAAAGCAACACAAGAAAAAGTTGGTTCAGAGTAACGTTTTGGAAACGTTAAAAGTACATCAAAATTAAAAGCTTTTGAAAATAAAATTAAGCATTTCTTGGACATAATGGGACTTTAAAGAACTTGCAACTACAGAAATGTACATTTCGACTTGAACCAATTTCTGACATAAAATACGCGTCACGTGGTCGAACCTGTATCTTAACATCACTGTTCAGGCTGGTTAGGGAGAATTGAAACATGTGTCACTAAACGTAAATTCTTTGAAAATCAGACGGAGGCAAAATTGATTCTTTCAATGATTGATAGAAATCAATTTGGCATAAATGCGACCGTGCACGTTTGGCGACATATAACAGTCAGAGGAAGTTTCGACGCACGGAACATATTTATTACAATTAAGGTTTACTTTACAACCGCTATAATTTTATGTTATATATACATCTACAATAAACATGTATATTAACATAACATAGAAATTATATAGAATTCTGGTAAGTCTTTATAGTATCAACATTCACGTTATTATATTATATAATAAAATATATCTTTAATATGGATAATTTATGTGTTATCATCTAAGAAATCGAATACAACGAGCATCGACAATTGTTTATGGCATTTAACAGAACAGAGGCCAGCGGTACTGACAATGAAATTGATATCAAATTAGATATCCCCCTTGGAAATGAAATCATAACAAAACAGCGTGAGAAATAAAACTGGCACAGAGCATTCAGTGAAGTGACTTTCTTCCTTTCTTCCAGTCGGATTCTGCCATAGATAAAGATCTTTGCTGTAATTATAATACAATTATGTGAAATTTAGTAGTAATTTAAAATTAGTAGAATGTCTCTGTGCATATTCTGAACGATTATAGATAGATTGAGTTTCTGTAGACGTCTGATACCCCATCAATGTAGGAGACAACTCTAAAGTTTTAATTAATTGTTTTAATAATCAGAGTTTAATCAATAGACTGAAATCTACGGTGGTACAGAGGTGACATGTGTGTGTTTGTGTTTATTTACCTCGTGCGCACGAGATACTTTATCGTGGCCACGAGTTACTTAGTCGTGGCCACGAGATAATTAAGTGGTGTGCATGAGATACTATGTCGTGGCCACGAGATAATTTAGTAGTGCGCACGAGATACTAGTACTATGTCGTGGCCACGAGTTACTAAGTCGTGGCCACGAGATAATTAAGTGGTGCGCATGAGATACTATGTCATGGCAACGAGTTACTAAGTCGTGGCCACGAGATAATTTTGTAGTACGCACGAGATATTATGTCGTGGCCACGAGTTACTAGGTCGTGGCCACGAAATAATTAAGTGGTGCGCTGGAGATACTATGTCATGGCAACGAGTTACTAAGTCGTGGCCACGAGATAATTTTGTAGTACGCACGAGATAATATGACGTGGCCACGAGTTATTAAGATCTCCTTTATAAACAATACATTGTGGATGTGAAAACCACGTGAAGGTATGGAAACTACTGAATGCACTGAAAGTCATATATAAACATACACAAACATCTAAGTATATGCCTTGAAACGTAATAAACACTTACATATTAAGTAAAAGCTGCATTTTTGTCGGATATTTTAAATAGCCCTACCCCACCTTTTTCGGGGCAATTTGGTAGGTGGGGGTATTCACGTAAATTGCTTATAAATTGAAAATTTGATGGTCAATGTCTTTGAAAAGATGCAATTGAAAAAGTTAAATAGTATACTTTGATAAAATAATAAGCCTTATCAGTTTCCATAATATACCCATTACAAGCATCTTATCTTGATTAAAAGCAGTTAAAAGACTAGTAGATGACAAAAATTCAAGAGTACAAGAAAGTGTAGCACTGCTAATAACACGCGCTAGCAAAAAACAGGCATACCTTCGTGTGGTCGCCTAGCACCAATTATAATGTCAATCCACAAATACCCCGCGCCTACATTTCTAGAATGAAATTTCAAATAAATAAAACGTGCGGAAATTTTGATGGTCTCAAAAAGCATTGTTATAACTTAAAGTGATTTTCGTTTTGCATGTTATACTTAAGCTTAAGTATAAATCTCTAGGCTAATTCAAACGAAATCAAGGTAAAATACTCCCTGAATGTACGATAACTCGTATACTGTGCTCGGTCTCCACTAAAATTTAGAGTCAACAACCACTAGACTATAATGCCATTCTTCTTTTGAATTGAAAGTTAGTAATACTTTTCATATTAAAGACACATTAAGCCCCCACCCGAAACGAATAAATATTACCTTCTGTAAAAAGGGCAAATATGAGGATTATAACGTTTCGTTACTGGTTTAAGAGCATGTTAGATTCATATCACCTGCTGAAATGAAAATGCTATTCATAAAAAGTAGCAAAACGTAAACAAAGTTGTATTTTGTCTTTCATACAAAATACTAAATCACTATTTCTGTACTTATTGCAAAAAAGCAACAGAAGAAAATGAAGGATCAGGTTATTGACCAATGAGCAACCTTTTGGAAAATATAACATGGAGCCTCAATGTGTCTTAAACCGAAATTTCAAAATTGTTGAAGGAAAAATTCACACAAAATACCCCTGACATGTAATGTATGAATGTTGAATCATCTTTGACAGCTGATTTTTTTTAAAACCCAGTATGATTATTAAATAACTGCAAACAAAGTTCTCAATAGGTTAACAGGCTATTATGGTTAAGACTCAGAACAGAACATATATTTTGCTAGATATTAGATTCATTAGATATACAAAACCCGTGAACAAGACCATGTTAGGGAGAGACTGAACATGGAGTTTATAGATGGTCTTTATTTGGAGGTAACTATGTTTTTATAAATCAATGAAGGATTGTCGAAGAATTGTCAAAATTCACAGGGTGATTTTTATTTAAAGGTGGTCTTTAACATAAGTTTGACTGTATTCATATTCGATATTGAATGCGTCGAAGTGCAAGTATAAACTTTGACAATTTTTCTCCGCCCATAAAGGGTTACATATACATGGATATATCTTTTCAGTACTAAATTGAAATTATTATATATAGAGGATTTCTTTTCCAGCACTAAATTGAAAATAAGATATATATTGGATATATCTTTTCAGTACTAAATTGAAATAATAATATATAGAGAAAAAATCTTTTCAGTACTGATTTGAAATTATAATATATAGAGGACTTTTCTTACCAGCACTGAATTGAAATTAATAAAGATGATATATCTCTTCAGAACTAAATTGGAATAATAATGTATTGGAAGACTGTGTAAAATGACTTATTGTAAAGTAATAATTCGCATTTAAT